GTGGTGACGAGAGCTTTACTCCTGATTCCGAAGCTTGCGAAAGGGATGTCGAGTCGCTATCAACAACCAGCGCCTCCAGTGAGTTTCAGGAAGAAAACGACATAAGCAACTTTTTGTTTGACGCGACCTACGATCTCAGGTCACGGAGATTTATTTAAGGGGTACAAGGCAGAACTGACTGAGCTCTACAAAAGGTTGGATGGAATCCAGCAATACCAACTATTCTCGACGGACATCAGCAAACCTGGAGTGGTGTCCTGCCGGAAGAGCCCTGAATGGGACGCTATAGAGTTTGACTTACGTAGAAAGATCGACAGGGCACTGACATCCCAGGAAAAGGTCCTCCGCATTCTGACCGAGCATCTTGAGACCTTGCCCCCCCCCTCCTCCCAACGCGGAGAAGATCGCCCAAATGTTCCAATCAATTCGACCCTATGTCCCCGATGAATTCCGCGACGACCCGATGTACGCGAAGCCCAGCGAGCGACAGCAAGAAAAAGCCAAAACCGCGAAGCAAGTGCGACGTACTCAACGTGCGGCAATGGCTGTGGCAGCCAAACGAAACCAAGATCAGCAGGGGAAGAGAGAGCGCAGACGACTCCGTGAAGACACCCGCAGCAAAACACCACACTCTCAGGCTAAGAAGCGAAAGACCACAGAGTGATGGCGATATAGCGAGCTCACTGTCAAACAATGTTGCTTATCTCCAGAAAAAATCAAAATGTTACTTATGGTCACAAGTTTAAATTTAGGGAAAAAAATTAAAAATACCCCAAGGATTTGAACCCACCATACTTTTTTTTGCAATTTTCATAAGGTTATACTCAGAAATAGCTAAAATAAATACCATCAACAGATTCCTCACTCAATTTTACGTCTAGATATGCAATAAAAAAAATGAGTTTTCAAGTTTAACATGGAGATCTTTTTTTTCTCGATCTCGTACTCCGCACCACCTGCGCCAAATTGGACGTACGTGCGCTCAATCGATAGCTATGACGCCCCTCTTTTAAGTAGTAGCCTCAAATCGCAATTTGTACTTAGGTTCAATAGATATATTTTGTTTGACGCAGTCTCAAATGCGATTAATATCATTGCTATTTTATTAAGATTGAAATAATTACTTTTATAAAACAATAAATATTATTTTAATTTTAGTACAAATAAATTATTTGCTGTCAATAAAATCAATTTTATTTCTTATCAATTAATTATTTCATTCCGAGTGCAACATACATATTTAAGTTGCGTCACGTCTTCCCGCGCTTTTTTCGTAGCCATTTCACGAAACAGCTGATCGATTGGCTGAGGTCACTCGTCCAACGAGATTCATTCCCCAAGTTGCCAGCCTAAGCAGCGCGTCGTCCTCTTTGCATCTCTTCCGCTCGACTACCCGACTTCATCGCTATGGACTTCCCGGCGCTGGTGGCCGCTCTGATGAGCAATGATAATGCGACGCGCAAGCAGGCCGAGGCGTCGTACGAGGCTTTCAAGGCTGAGCAACCCCAGACGCTTGTGGCCAACCTCGTGCAGCTGCTGCGCACGGCGCCCGAGCCGGAGGCACGTGCATTCGCCCCTGTGCTACTGCGTCCGCTGCTGGAGGTTAAGGCCGGCGTCTACACACAGTTGGATGCGGCCGCGCAGGCCACGCTGAAGGCCCAGTTGCTGGAGGCCGTGGCCAGTGAGCCCGTGGCCCACATTCGTCGCAAGCTTGGCCACCTTATCGCGGAGCTGGCTGCCATCTCGGAAACTTTCGAGCAGCCTTGGCCTGAGCTTCTCAGTGCCGTCTCGGCGCTCACCACACATGCCGACCCTCTGCTGCGCGTGACGGCCTTTGACTTGCTGGCCAAGCTGGCCGAGTACGTCGGCGACCTGCTGGCCCCGCACAAAGAGAGCTTCCTCACACTCTTCACCAACTCGCTGAACGACGCCAATGGCGAGGTGCAGATCGCCAGCCTCAAGGCCGCCTCGGCCTTCCTGCTTACGCTCGAGGACAAGCAGGAACTGTCTGCCTTTGCCATTATCATCGCCCCCATGCTGCGCATCATTGAAGTCCTGGTGAACGCCGGCGACGAGGTGGCCTTCCGTGAGGTGCTGTCGGCCCTCGTTCAGATCGCTGAGGTGCACCCCAAGTTCTTTCGCAACTCTCTGGACGACGTGGCCCGCGCTATGATCTTTGTATGTTCGTCACAGGAGCTTGACTCGGAGACTCGCGAACTCGCCCTGGAATTCCTGATTTCGCTATGTGAGAACGCCGGCGGTATGGTACGCAAGTCGCAGTTCATCGTGAGCAACGTGGTGCCTCTGGTTATCCAGCTTATGTGCGAAGTCGAGGAGGACGAGACGTGGGTGCAGAAGTTCGACGACCCGGAGAGCTTCACGGAGGCCAACGACGCCGACAACTCGGTCAGCAACGCTAGTGCCGCTGCCATTGACCGTCTGAGTACGTCTCTGGGCGGCAACGCCGTGCTGCCCGTGGCCATCCCGGTCATCAAGGGCTTCCTGGGCGATGCTGATTGGCGCAAGCGTCGCGCTGGCCTGTATGCTACGTGTCTGCTGGGCGAGGGCGCCAAGTCGCTCATGACTCGTGAACTGGACAACGTTGTGGGCATGGTACTGCCTTTCCTGAACGACCAGCACCCGCGTGTTCAGTACTCTGCGCTGCACAGCATTGGCCAGCTGGCCGAGGACTTTGGCGAGGTGGAGAAGGGCAAGAACTTTCAGGCCAAGTTCCACGCCGTCGTGATGCCTGCACTTACGGCGTTGATCCAGAACGAACAAGGTGTGCTGCGTACTCGCGCTCTGGCGGCCAGTGTGGTCATCAACTTCTGCAACACCAACGTGTGCAAAGCCAAGTACGTGGCCCCGTATAGCCAAGCTCTTCTTGAAGCGCTGTTCAATGCCATGCGCTCGTGTCCGCGTCAGGTGCAGGAGCAGGCTATCACTGCTGTGGCCAGTGTGGCCAAGGTGATCGGAGACGAGTTCCTGCGCTTTTACGACATCTTCATCCCGCTGGCCAAGGAGGTGTTGACCAACGCTCATGGTAAGGAATACTCTCTGCTGCGTGGCAAGTCCATGGAGTCGATTGCTCTGATCGGCCAGGCTGTGGGCAAGGAGCGTTTCGTGAACGACGCCAAGGAGATCATGGAGATCTTGGTGCGTGTCCAGTCCAGTGAAGAACTGGAGGGTCCGGAGGTGCAGTACGTGGCCCAGTCGTGCGTGCGTATCGGCAGTATCCTGAAGGAGGACTTTGTGCCGTATCTGCCTCATGTGATCCCGTCGCTGATCAAACAGGCTCAGATCCAGCCCGATATTCAGTTGTCGGATGTCGTTGACGGTGATGTCGAGGAGGATGGCGAGACTGCTGATGGCAAGGAGACTATGACGCTGGAGATTCGTGGAGTGGGCAAGAAGCGTCTGGAGATCAACACGAGCGCTCTGGAGGACAAGACCAATGCTTGCAACATGCTGTACCAATCGGCTCTTGACCTGGAGGGCTGGTTCTACCCGTACGTGGCCGAGGTGGCGCAGGTGATGATCCCGTTGATTGATTTCACGTACGTTGAGGACATTCGCATCGTGAGCAGCTTGACGATGGCCAAGCTGTTGAACTGTGCGGTGGACGGCACGCTAAACCACGGCCACGGCGCGACTGCACCGCAGTTCCCGCAGCAACTCCTTGAGAAGTTCTTTGAGCCGATGCTGAAGGGCTTGCAGGAGGAAGAGGACCTGGAATGTCTTGGAGCTTTCGCTGAAGCCATGTCGGCCGTCTTGGAAGTGTGCAAGGAGAGTCAGGACAAGGGATTCCAGGTCGGCATTCCGCTCGAGCACGTCCCGCGTGTGGTTGAGATCTTCAAGACCGTGGCGTCCAACAGCGCTCAGCGTCTGATGACCCAGCACCACGAGAACCAGCAGGACGAGGACTATGACGCCGAAGCTGCTTTGCAACAGACCGAGAACGACGAGCTGGAGGAAGGAGTCTTCCGCTCGATGGTCGACTCGATCGGCTGGATTGTTAAGATCCAGAAGGAGGCTTTCTTCCCAGTGTTCCAGGCTCACTTGCTGGCGTTCGTGACGCCGCTGCTTGAGCAGAAGACGGTGCCGATGCTGCGTGGCCAGGCTATCTGCATGATCGATGACATCATCGAGCACTGTGGCGCTGCCGCCCAGGAGCTGGTGCCGCTGTTCCTAAACCACCTTGTGCAGGGTCTTGAGGATCAGAGCCCGTCTGTCATCCAGGCGTCCGCTTACGGTATTGGTGTCAGCGCTGAGAAGTGCGGAGCTGCGTTTGACCCGTTCTGTCAGAACGCTCTGGAGAAGCTGGTGCACCTGGTTAACGTCTCGGCCAATGTGGACGATGACGAAGTTGGTGCTGCTCGTGACAACGCTATCAGTGCTGTGGCCAAGATCTGTCTGGCCCGTGAGGGTGCTGTCGATGCGGCCAAGATGTGGCCCATGTGGCTCAGCTGGCTTCCGCTTCGTACCGATGTGCTCGAGGCCCGCGATGTTCACGCTCGTCTTATTGCGCTGGTGAACAGCGGCAACGCTCATGTGCTCGGCGCCGACTACGCGAACCTTCCTCAGATCCTCAAGGTGTTTGCGTCTGCTCTTCGTAAGTTTATGTTGATATCCACTGGTTCATGTGGTGAAGCTGTGTGCTAACTGTTTTGTGCCGCTGTTATTGTTACTATTTCAGTGTTCGATCTGGCCGAGGCTGAGGATGCTGCTGACGATGAGGACATGTCAACCATTTCGGAGGAGTCCAAGCCTCAGCTTCGCGAGCTGTTGGCCAAGTTGCAGTCTCAGCTGCCTGGTCCGGTGGTACAGGGCGCTTGGGCGAAGCTCAGCGGTGACGAGCAGCAGGCTCTGTCTCAGCTGTAAGATGTCAGAGGTGAATTTGGTTATTGATTGACGACGTAGGAAATGCATATAGAGATAAGAAAACGATAGGGTAGTAAGTAGTTTTGTCGGTTGGGTCATGAGGATCTTGTAACCTGCTTTTGAATAGAAAAGATATGTTGGAGATGCAAATTCACAATTTATGTTGCATCAATTTGAATTTTCAAAGTTGAAGTTGATTTGCTCGTTGAGTCTCCTCAATTGTGGTAAAAAGTTCTGTCTACCCCGAGTATTAATCAGAACCCACTGCAACGCTTGGTGTATAGTATCGCTCGGTTGGAAGCTGAAGAGGGTCTACGTCAATTACTGGACTTGCCTACACACATCCACTGCTTATCTCTTGAGCAAAAACTTGAGTGCCAGCCCTGCAACGACTACAGCCCCAACGATGCCCACGCCTACCACACCATCTTCTACTCGACACAATAGCTTACATCAATCCCCCACATTGTATCGTAGAAGTCTCATCACGTACCTCTTGCCACGACTTCTTTGATTCTTTTGTGAAGCAACTGTGCTTTCATGTGTGACGGCTCCATGCGGAGTAAGCGCTCGCAGTAGCTGCGACTGGCACGGTACTCTCCAAGCCCACATAGCGTCAGTGCGATCCAGTACAAACTCTCCTTGGGGGAATAGTTCTGCTCCAGCAGATCTGACAATAAAAACTCGGTGAGCTTTCCTTCAATTTCATTTTTGTTTTGCCAAGTTGCCTTTTACCTTCCAGTAATCCGATTGCGCGGTATTTATCGTCACACTTGCGGCTTTTTGCCAGTGCAATGGCATAGCGCAGTTTGACCTTCACTCCGCAATGACAACAAATAAGTGATAGCGTAAGCAACGTGGTGATTTCCGCACTGGTGACCTCAGATCCGCGAAAGGAGACGCTACCTGAGGCGACGGCTGCTCCTTCTCCTGTTCCTCCAGATATTCCTCCCGTGCAGCCGCCAGTTCCTCGGGGGAGAACCATTCCGCGTCGGTCTTGGCGCCTTTCATGGTCATGGCGCCCGCTTACGCGTTGCCTTTCTCCCTCCGCTGCCCAAGCGGGTCTAGGAGTAAGTCCGCGCTTCTCTTTTGCAACTTCTTCAATGACAATAAATAGTGTACCGTACACAAAACGCTAATCGTTTTCGCGAGTTGAAGTTGTTGTTGAAGTCATTCGTCGACGAAAAAGTAATGTGCTAGCTACTGGTGCTCAATTGCGATGATCAGGGTGTTTTCAATACCGAGACTGACGAAGGGGGCGCCTTGGGCGGCGCACTGTCCTTTCGACACGCTTTGCGCACGTCGAATAAGAGCTGGGAAAATGACAAAATGGCGAGCAATCACATCAGATTTTTTTCATCAGCTATGATGAAAAATCGCCGTACCTGAACATTTAGCAGGTTGATGAAAATAATTCCACCAAAGGCCATGGCGAAGTGGATCTGTATATACAAGCGATACAAGCGATACAAGCGATGTTAGAACTGTTGATGCTGTAATAATTTGTTGTGGTGCGATACCTGTTGTACGAAAAGGTGTTTTGCTTGATACGTCAGGACAGCGACGGCTACGTGGGGTATGAATCGAGCCACGGTGAACGATACCCACTGTGCGCGCCATACCCATTGCAAAAGTGGAGACAACCGCACTGAGAAGTTGCTCATGACTAGCAACTTCCGAGCATGCATGAAGACTGACTGCAGTTCGCACACCAACGCAAGCGACAGTAGCGGCACACCCACGGTCTTTGTGAGAGCGGAAATGTAGCAGATGAGCACTACTACGTGGTGCACGACGATTCCAGGGGACTTGACGTATAGACCATTCAGCACATAGTCCCACAAGTCATAGGCAAAATAACCTGAAGCCGAGCCGAACAAGGTAAGCTATGCAATCAGTACTTCAACTTCGAAAAGAGTTGAAAGTTACCCACCAGTAGAGACTGAGGTGGCCAGGAACTCCCCCCGGGTTACAGTACTGACGTAGTCGCCATTCAGCGAGTGAGATGTGAGAAGCGCCGATATTGCCAGCAGAGACGAAAGCGCCGAATGCAGCATCGACACCAATGTGTTGCTAAACAGTAGCTGGCCAAATGTCGACAAAGTCGGAAATGCCTTCACCTTGGCCGATGCTAGCGGTACAACCACCACTCGGACAATCGCGAAAGCCTGGCCAGTTTGCCAAACAGTAGAATGACAACGTTAGCAGAACAAAGTGACAGGAACGATGGCAATTGCCTTGGTACCAATGAGGAGGTCACGACGATCCAAAGTCGCGGGTCCGTGTACAGCTAGCGAAATGTGTCAGCGAAAGAAAACCGTCAGTCGGATTCGTCTCAGCTGCATCACACAATGGATCGCACCATGGTCGCGCACATGCTGATCCACGTGATGACGAGCGCTTCGGTGAGCATGACTGTTGCAAATGCCGCTTTGGCGTGGAATTCGAATGTACCCAGCGAGGCGAGCGCCACGTTCTTCGGTGTTCCTGCATGGCGTTCGCCTATCAATGCTATTAACTGCCAATCACACGGCATTTAGAAAATTTCTACCAATCATCAATAACCGTTCCTAAATGTTGCATGTGCGATACAGTATTGACACTTGCAAGATGAAAAATGCGCAACAACAAACTGCTCCGCTGAACGATACACGAAAGTTTTTTCATCATCCGATCTATTGACAAGACACGATCTACACTGCTTAATCAAATTGAATATGTCTAGGTGAGCCTCGTCAATCCAAACTCGAAGCAACAAATGCCGTTTGTAGATGTACACTTGAGTTTATGTCAATAAAAAAAACGTTTTTTTTTTTTAAAAAAATTGTTCCGGGTTGGGGGGGGGAAACGAAAAACGAGGCTGCCGTCAATCCACTGACGCAGTTATACTTGGGGGCTCTCGTCGCCAGCCAGCGATGACGTCGAAGCCAGGATTCTTTTGCTTGTGTCGTCACGCCACTTCACTCTCAATTTTTGTGCACTTGGGTCGTCTGATAAATTATGATGCTGGACGAGGACGGAGCTGGCTGGTGGCGTGGCTCACTGCCGCCCTCTCTATTCGTCCTCGCGGCAAATACGCTGGAAAATGGATAAGCGCGAGAACTTGGAAGTCGCAGACTCGGTGCTACTCGCCGAGCGAGGCGACATGGCGTTCAGCGCGTCGCCACTGCAGTTGCTGGTGGTGCTGCTTCGAAGGCCGAAGCTGCCGAGGTCGCTGCTCTGGAACGAATAGTCTAGGAACGGGTCGCGACTCAGGTACGAGTCGAACTCGGGCTTGGGAGGCGACAAGCCAGACAGAGGTGCCAATGACATCTGCTGGTTGAAGCCGCCGAAAGGAACGGACAAGTCGATAGGCTCCAGTACGTTGCCGTACGGGTTCACCAACAGGTCCTTGGAGTGTGTCTCCTGGTCGTCCGACTCGCTGGCGGTGCTGGACAGATCGCTGCTGCCGTAGTCGACGAACCGCTGGTCCTCGTCGCCTGGGTGCCGGGTGTGGATAAAGCGGCAGCGTGAACCGTACATGCACTTGCCCGTGGACATGAAGGCCTTGCAGCGCGTGGTCTTGTACTTGGGGTGACGTAGCACGCCACGCAGTTCTTCCTCGCCGTGCGCGAACTGGCACTTGGAGCCGTACCGGCAGCTTCCGTTTTCCGTGAAGTGCTTGCAGAGCTCAGTCTTGTAGAGATTGTTGCGCGCTGTCTGTGGCAGACGTCCGCAGTCCACGATATCGCCGTTAGCCAGCACGTGCATCCGATTGGGACTGCCGTAGCTCGGGGTCTCCATGGGTCCCATGTCGGTCATCCGCATCTTGGGTTGAGTCTTGTGTAGGGGATGAGGTCTATTGAGTTGTGTTTGCCGAGCGTGGGGGTGATCGCTAGGCAAGGAGCTCTGAGGATGTGGAGAAGAGTGAGTAACCCGGTGAACGCGTTCGGAGGAGCGAGAGGTGGCCGGTATCCAGACACAGAGAGGGACGAAGACACTGCACGTAATAGAGGCCGACGATAAGGAGAAAGTCAGCACCGAGCAGCTCCAAAGCCGAAGCTAAATTGCGTTGTGACGTGCCCCGCCCAACGCGTGGAGCGGTCGATCGAGTGTTCGATCCGCGAGTGGACAGTGAACGAATTTCTCACCGGAGCTGAACCTTGGGGTAGAAGCGACCGTCGCCATCCGTGCATTGTATCAGGATCGACGACGGACTACAAAAGGCGTGACACCAACCCTGCCCCTTCTGCCTTATCTTGGAACTTTTTGGCCCACTCTAATTTGTGGTCTCCATACAAACAACAAGACAAACGAGTTCAGAAAAATCAAAAACTGTAGAACATAAACTGGAGATCGACGACCTTATTCCGGTTGTTGCCTTCTGCTGCTGTTCGCGGTGAGGACGCGGCAGGGCTGGGCAAGTTTCCTCGTTGCAATAGCCCTCTTGATGATTTTCTACCTTGTGCGAGTAACTATGATATTGTATGTGTCGACTTTCCTACATATTTGCCTATCGTCCTTGGAGGCGTGCTCCTCGGGATAGGCACACGTAGGCGACAGCCTCGCGTCTTGCGCTCGCTATGCGGCGCACAGGGAAGGGGCCAGAGCTCACAAACGCTCCACCACGGCCATCATCGCCATCCTCCATCTGGCGCGGCTTGAGCTCTTCCAGCCGCCAGCTAGGCCCGTTTCTTGCAGGTTGCAGTTCGATCGCCAAGCGGAGAGCTTCCTCTCCGCGTTGAACGAACTGCGGCAACGCGGCGCAGATGGGGAACTTACAACCTGCCCTGTTGAGTGCGCTTGGCACGAGGAAAGGGCCGAGTCGACATCAACTCAGCGATGGCGGCCGGAAGATGTCAAGCATCATCCGTGCAGCACGATCCGATCGGTCTCTGAGCTGCAAGAGGGGCTGTTGGCGCTGGATGAAGTGTCGATTGCCAGCACCAGGCTCTAAACAGATGGCGAGCATGCATGGCCGTTGAGTTCCGCCGTCCGCGGCTGGAACCAAGGAGCTATCGGTGCCGACAGCATGCTCAAACTTATACAAACATGGATTTCGCTGCCGCGATATCTTTTTCCCTCGGTCGCTCGCCTGAAATCGAGACTTGTCTGCTCGGAGCCGGAGGCTGTTGCACCGAAAATCTACGAGCGGATGACAAGGAATTTTCGACGTGCTGGCTCCCGCTGACTTTGCCGTCGAGACTGTCGCTAAGTTGACAAACCAGCCTCGGTCTCTGCTCGGCAGCGCTTCAAGCTCCACGAGCTTAGTCGCGCTGGCCAAGATTGCCAACCTGACTGTCTGGCCCCACTCCGCTTCGACGAGCAACAACAGCGGTAGATTTTGCTCGCGTCAAACGCCACTCTTGTCAGGCCACGGTGACGAGGCAGCGAGCGTAGCAGGAGCGGCCACACTCGCCATGCAACAATAATCGTTGCGAAACATTCACACGGTATCCGTATAGCGCGTTGCCGTTGGTGCGCCTATAATAATAGCACTCATGCCGCAAAATCCGCTACGCTGGAGGCGTAAAAGAGCGCGATTCCCTCTAGCGTTTGGATTCCAACTTTGGAACATCCGCCGATCGCACGCCAGCTTAGCATGAGAGGACAGGAGATTAGCTCCAGCCGCTAAGCCGATGGCTCACCGCATGGCGTAGGGCAGCGAATCTTCAATCACAGCGCTTGGTCTCGTTTTCAAGAAAGATCATCTCGGTATTGTGCAAAGGATTACCGTCGCCTCGATGATCGCAACGCTTCGCATCTCTGCAAGCAGACTCGCAACGGAGACCGAGTCAACATGCCAGCATCTCTTGTGCACCACGACAACGCAGGACTCGCCTACATCGTGACGACACACCAGCCACAACACCACAATTTGAGATGGACGCCACATCGCATCGCTGGAGCAAAACCAGGACGACAGAGCACTGCAACGTCGTGTTCCTGCCAAGATCTGGCCCACCAACTTGGTGGCAGCTTGGCGGTCAGACTATCGATGCAAGACCATTGTTCACCACAAGACTGACTACACTCGCATAACGCCAAGTGACAGTAAAAATCTACCTCTGTTGCATTTCATATTGACGCTCTATTGCGCTAGTTACGGCTCGGCAGCAGCAGTCTCCGCAGATTTCTCGACGAGATCCCAATAGTGGACGACGTTCTTGGCCTCCATGACCTTGCGGGCTGTGGCGGATGTCCGACATTCCTGAAAGCGGAAGTTGTTGAACGCCTTGCGAGCCACCACGCCCTGCCAGACCAGCAGACAGCCGTTGCCACGCTTTGCTGCGTCCTCGTCCTCGCTGTCCGACTCCTGCTCGGCCTCGCGCGCCCCGTTCCAGTCGATGCGTCGCATCATGAGCTTCGTGTACTGCTTAATGGCCTTCTTGCCTCCTTCCACTACCACCATATTGATGTTGCTGTCCTTGCAGATTAGTACGCCGCCAGTGAGATGGTACTGCTGCGCATTGACATCGACCTTGAAGCGATGTTGCGGGTTCGAAAGATCCGGCACTCTGTTTCAGTAGTAGAAGTTGAAGCGAGTTAGTCGGCCTGTCATGGAACATCACAACAATGAGAGCACAGAGCACGTACTTGAAAAGCGCCACATGGATGTCTCCAGCGGCGTCCTCTTTAATCTTGCGGAGTTTTTTCTCGCGACGCTCCTCGGGCGTAAGCTTGCGTGCCAAGTTACGCATTTCGTGGTTCTTTTCACGCTGCGCTATCTGATCGCGAACCTTGCGCTCGATGGCCGACGGGTCTGCCACAGCTTGCTCGGACAGCACACGCATCATATTTGACAGCTTCACCTTTGGCTCTGGTGGTGGCAATAAGCCCAGCGCGATTTTATCCTGCTTCTCCTTCTCCCGGTCTGCGCGGTTTTGACGACGGATCTTCTTGCGTTCCTGTATTGTTCATAATCAAAGAACGATATTAGGCTGCGGGTCATCACAGTTGACCAGCTTAAGAGCAACAAGTACCGCAGCAGTCAGCATGAGTGGCACCGCTACGGGTTTGTTATCCTGTCTGGTAATCAGATTGAGCCGCGCTGGGTGCTCACAAACGTGCGCAGTTCCACAGTACTTGAGTTTCATGTCAGCGTAGGAGACTGTCACATCGGGGTCCTCCTTGCGAGCTTTAGCCTTGATAAATCCAAACTTGTCCACAATAGCACGCTTGTCCTTGGGGAGATACTCCACATCCCACCACTCGACGTCAGGAGTAGACATCTCAGGTTTAAGCGGAACATCCACGCTGTCAATCTCCATTTCGCTGGACTTTTCATCATCCTCTGGAGTTGACTCGGTCGGCTCGGTTGATTCATCGATTGGTACAATTGACTCCTTCTGGTATCCTCGCGGATTGCGTCCCGACGTGAACCCAGCCATCATCTTCTTGGCATCACGAGCGCGAACCTGCTCTGCCTGCTTCACGTAAGTGCCTTGTGCAACGAAATTAAAGGTCTTGCGAGCACGTCTACAATGGGAACAGCATAGCAGAACAACAGACAATATGTTAGTACCATTTCACGTCCACCATACTATTGCACCTCGCTTCAACATGCCACGTACGTCTCTCGCTTGGTAACCTTGAGTCGGGGATCCACTGCTTCTAGTTTATCGTCCTCGTCCACTGTGCGATGGGATAGGTATGGGTTTTGGTTCTTTTTGGCAGCATCGCTACCCCTCGCTCCCTGATTGGCCTTGAGTGTCGCTTCGCTTGGCTTCTTGACGACTACATTCCCTGCTGCATCAATCTCTCGTCCCTGCTCATCCAGAAGTAATGGTGCTGGCATGTAGGTACCGCTGCCAGCAGCACGAGCGCTCAGCATCGCAGTGGATGCAGCGACGGCAGCCGTAGAAGCTCCGGGCTTCCGCAGTAGCTCTTTGATGTGGCTCATTTGACTCTGCACCGACTTGTAGATCTGATCTGTCCGTCGTCGCTTTTCCTGTTCAATGCGGCTTAGTTCCTCCGGGTCTACATGTACCGCTGCGCTTCCAGGCACGGCTGCTGGCACGGGGAGCGCTGTTGTTACTGATGATCCAGGGATGGCGCGAGATATCTTAGCAGCTGCGGCGCGCGCTAGCGCCGCGGGGTCCAACACGGGAGATGTGTCGGTACCCACAGCGGGTCTCTTGGATGCTGGCGCGGCTGAATCTGCAGGGGCATCGCTGAATCTGCTCTTCCGCTTGCGTCGTGGCGCCTCGCCACACTGCTCCATGGTCATCGACGCAGCAATTGGCTGGAGGTCCAGAATTTACGTAATTATATTGCTTGCTGCAGGTTATGTTTTCTGACGGAAGAGAGGAGAGAAAAAAAGCCAGCGTGAATGTGCCGTTAGACAGTTCGTTGAGTTCATACTGGTGGGGGTTAGTCATATGTTTCTGACTTGTTTCGATGGTTCAGATTAGGCTATTCGAAAGGATTTTATGGTTCATCTAACGGCACGGATCCATTTTCGGAATGCATGTCTCAACACAAGTTGTGAATTCAACAGCGTTAGTATCAGTTACCTGTAAAATTTGCTCTCCACAACTAAATCGTATATGGTCATGTATCCATTGTCAGAGATTCTTTTTGAAGCCCGTGGTTGACGCAAGGGACCCCATTTAGAGCTCCACAAGAGAAAAGAAACCGCGAACGGCAAGCCAAATACGAGCCGAATCCCCGCTGTCACGAGCGACACGAAGCAGCAGACAGTCATTCACACCATCATGACGTCCAAGACGTCTAAGAAGAAGCCAAGTCTGGCCGAAGTGATGGATGAGCTGCAGAGCCGCTTCCTGGTGAACCTGCCTGAGTCGGAATTGGCCTCGAGCGAGCGCCTCTTCTTCCAGATCGAGCAGTGCTTCTGGTTCTACGAGGACTTTTACGCCGACCAGTACGCGCATCTGCAGCACGTTAAGCTCAACGACTTCGCCCGGCAGATGTTCGCACACTGTCCGCTACTGCGACCGCTCGCGCACCGCTGCGACGAGCTGTTCCAGGATTTCAAGACGTATCAGCGCCAGGTGCCCGTCGTAGGCTGCATCTTGCTCAACTCCGCGCGCACCAAACTTGTATTGGTGCGCAATTGGAAGGGTACGAGCTGGACATTCCCGCGAGGAAAGGTGAACGAGGGCGAGTCCGATATGGATTGCGCACGGCGAGAAGTGCTGGAGGAATGCGGCTACGATGTCGGGGACAACCTCGCGCCAAAGCAATATCTGGAGTTTGTGGCTAATGATCAGCGCATGCGCATGTACATGTGCCCAGATGTTCCTGAGGACTACGCGTTTGCACCGCAGACACGCAAGGAGATCAGTACCATCAAATGGTTCACGTTCGATGCTCTACCCAAGAAGACGTGGAGTGTCATGCCCTTCATGTCAAGATTGAAGCGCTGGGTCAAGGGACACAAGACTTCCAAAAAGAAAAGCAGCAACTCTGCTCCAAACAGCACAGGACGTGCAGCTTCTGCTCCGCGGAATCGCCCGTTGACGCTGATTACGAACGGTGCTGCTCAACAGAACACAGAGAGTGGCAAGAAGAAGAATCGCATGGAGCGATCAATCTCGACGCCCCACAACGACAGACCAGCTACTACTGGTTCAAAGAAGGCCAGTCGCGGCCACTTTGGCACGGAATTTGACACAGCTACGTCCTATGACGGCTTAAATGACGAGACGTTCGGGAACGCGAAGAAGGGCTTCAGTGTGGAAGAGATGTTCAGTGTAAACGAGCGTCTGACGGGACAGAAGTTCGAGTATGATGGCAACCCACACGACTTTGGAAAGTCCACATCGCGACCAACTGCAACGCGAGCGACAGCTCCACTATTTAATTCGAAGGGCCCGATGCCGGTGCAGATCCTCAGACGGCCTGCGTCAGCGCCGTTGAAGCGAGTGGAAGAGGAGACGTGTCCGTTGCCCAGCCCACCACGTCAGTCGACGGGCTCGACACCGTTCGGGTCCTTCCAGTTTGACGCCGTGGACATCATGGCCGTCGTGACGTAACTCTTCTCGAAGAGTGGCGTCGACAACCAGATCGAAGGAATGAACTATCAGCCACATAGGTCAAGTGACCGGGTCGACTGCTTCTTGCTCCCGTTTGGCAGGAGCATGAGTTGCCTTGTCCCCAGATACGATCACTACCCTCACTGCATTCAGGCGGGTCGGTCCTTCGATTAGGTGTCACTTCATGTTTTGCATATTGTTTTCTAGCTTTGTACCATAGGAAAGCTGCAGGTCTTCCCAGTGCTCGCGGAGGAGGAGTGAAGAGCATACGGGATACCGGTAGCTAGGTGTTTTTTTAACACCGCCCAGTGTGAAAGAAATTCATCCCGCCCGGCACGGTGGCACAGACAAGAAGTCATCGACATCGTGGGCAACTGATGCGAAAGGTGAACAAACGACAAGAGAAGAATTCAGCAAAGACCATACTAGTAAGTGGCTTCAGTTATTGACGGGTTCGCGTGCGTGATACGTTGGCTGCAGATCCCCAAGTCCACGGCTAATAGTGTAGCTATCCATCGCAGCATCCACTCTCCTTGAAAGCTAGGCTGCAGTGCCTTCCTCGGTTGCCATTTATTCGCCAGGAGCGGTGGTGTAAGAGATCCAGCACACGAGGATGAGCTGCAAGCATGACACGCTGCAAGATTCAAACATACGTATAAGTGAGCATATGAGGGCAGCAATATTTGCCAGCAATCCATGAACCTCACCCGAAAAGCAGGTAGTTCCGGAAGAGGCGGTTCTCAGGAGATGGCTCCGCTACGCTTCCCTTCATGCAGTTAAGCTACAACACATGACAGTAGTGGTTAGACTGCGAGCTTCAGGTACTAGTATTTCCACAGTTCATTAACTCACTGTGAAATATGACACGGCAACACCAGTGTACAGGAGGAACACGTAGTAAGCGATCGAGCCGAGCAGCTGGAAGACGACCGCATTGATCACCAACGGAATATACTTGTAGCCGGAAAAAGATACCAAGTCGAGGAACGAGATCGAGCTGTTTAGCACGTAAAGACAGGCAGCCAGAACGCCGATCTCGATCAACTGCATCACAAGACAGTAGCTCGCATCCTTGGTGATCACATCCGGGCTGAATCTGTTATAAAATATCATCGTGAGTGCTGCGTTTTGGATGTAGCGGGAGCCATCGCAACCTACTGGTTCGAAGTGCCTTTGGAGTAACCCACAAGCAAAATGTAGGTCAGGAATCCCATCAGCGGGATGTAGAGATCCGGGGCATTGCTATCACGAGTAGGAGGAGCGTATTGCATCTGAAAAATATGGCAGCAACATGTGGTTAGAACTTACAAACCCTTACATTTGTAGTACTTGACGCACTGGCTTGGATTCGTCTTGCTCGCCATTGCCAATACGGCGCCAGTTCTTGTGCCGGAACGGGAGCAGCAAGATCTAGAATTCAAGATGGTATCATACGGGTCAGAAGCACTGTATAGTAATCCAATAGCACAGCTGAATCCGCACCTTGAGACGACTCTTAACGTAAGAGTTGTTGACAGTGAAATAGTACTTCAAGCTGCCCCAAATACCATATGCGCCAGGTAAATACATCTCCGACTGCTTCTGCAAGAAATCTTGCGCACTATTCATCGCCAGTCCTGCCATCGGGTTGCTACCGCCAGCAGCAAAAGCAAAATTAAGCATAAATTTCAAGTCAATAAAATAAAAATCTACTGACCTGGAGAACTGATTGATAAAGTCTGCCTGCTGCGCCTGCTGAGGGTGCTGCATATGCGGCCGTGGGTTGCTATTCGGCGGGGTCTGCTGCGGAACATTTTGCGCATAGCCGCCGTGCGCTGGGTGGCGATGTTGGAAGCCTGCGGGTGTCGACTGGAACTGCTGCTGGGCAGGAGGCACCGCATTCATTCCTGGTTGGTGATACTGAACAATGTCGATAAGTATTAGGTCCAGTATGTCGCCTCATTGAGTCTGCAGTGTACTCACATCCTGGGTGAAGGCCGAAGCGGCCTGCTGGTTGAAAAATCCGTCCGAGGTCGAAGCCTGCATCGGAGCAGGAGAAGCTACGGATTTCTGGTGGAACTGGTGCGCTGGGCCACGCTGTGGCGTGCGCTGTTGGCCCATGGCCGGCTGCGATGGGAACTGTGGAGCCGCGCCGAAGCCAGGCGTCGCGTTGAACTGCATCGGCCGCTGGCGGTTGTTGGGGTTCTGGAATGAGCCTGAAGGTTGTACAGACAGGAGGGGTGTAATGAGTTTGAGAACACTTGCAGGGAGAAACTGATAGCAGCAACGTACCGGGTTGAGCCATGGCAATCTTGCTCGTAGTTCGTCGGCGTGTTTTGGTTGTGCGATCGACGTGGCAAAAAAGGTAGTTCATGATGTGGCCCACACAGTAAACATCTGAAACACTGTATAGTGATACAATAGTCAATGTTGATTCGTTTTCAATTTTGTAAGGCAACCAACCCCCTCTATTTTAGCATGGTAGGGCTGTAAACATGGAGAAGCAATGCTTACGCTTTTTTCCCGCCTTCCGGCCTGCTCCGATCAAAAAGGTGGTCTACGCCGACTTAGTGTCGTCACCTGTACGGAGCGCCTCTGACACGTGTTTTCAAGCTCAGGACGAGCTATATTCGCGTCAGTGCTGGTCCAGTGTTTGGTCCATGAGAACGTTTTCGATGAGTTCCTGGTCAGCCTTGACGTTGCCCGCCGCATTGTTCAACAGGAAGTCGGTAAGCGCTCGGATATACATCGGATCGTAGATGGTGCCCGCCTCAGTATCTAGAGTCACGTGTGCGACAAGTTGCAAAAGTGACAGTTCCCGCTCGGGTGTAGACGCCTTGGCGCGCTTGATGACAGCGTAATTACGGTGATGAGAACTCAGTCCGGCGAAGGCCTTGCGCTTGATCTCAATAGGGGCGATCGTCGCAACCCAGACCACAACTTCGCGATCAGCCTCAACGTATCGCCGTATAATTTGCTTCACACGGACGTCTGTGCTCGAGTTTCCTGCGAACAGCTCCTTGGAAAAATGTTCGATGATGGTATATGGCGTATCCAGATTCTGCAAGTTAATCAACAGTTATTGTAAGTCGTCACAGAGCTTTTCATCAAACATCACAAGATTGTCCATACCTGCGCCGCTTTGGCGTATAGATTCCCTCGGTGCTTCTCCGAGCCCTTGAAGTAGTTCCAAGTCGCCTCAGCAGTTGCGTGCTGCCCGAAGGGCATAACCTTGTTCGAAAACACTTCAAGATACATACCATTCACGCCTTCACGCATATGTATATCTTGCTGTGTCATCTCCATCGCCGCCAAACCGTTTGCTGCGAGGACTGCATCCACTTCACTATATGCTGCGTCGAGATACTCCAGTAATTCCTGGAAGTCTGCGGCATCTGCACGAAAATCCAATGTGCGGCCAAGTGGGCAAATATCGCCTGGCTTTTGAATGGAGGAAGTGCACTCAGCAATCTGAAACACACACCGAACAGCATTAATTAACACTACATGAGCATCAGCGATACAAGTATAAAGAGCTTCTCGTACCTGCTGCTGGGCCCGCTTCAGTAGTAAGCTCTCCAAGCTCTTGGCTACTTTGATCTGACCTTCCAAAACCAGTTTCAGCCGTACATTTTCGCGTTCTGCTTTCTCTCTCCGACTTCTCTGACGAGCAGCAAAGCCTTCCCAAATACTAGAAACTTGCACTTCAGTACAATTCGGCGGTGCACTGGCACAATTTCCAGTCTCTCGCCTATCTGAGTTCGTGAGAAGTGGGCGTTCCTGTAATGTCTGTAACTCCTTCTCTAACTGTCCCACTTTCTCCCTTAAATACGCAATCTCCAGCTTGCGTTCGTTGCGCGCACGGTTGGGGTCTCCATAGACTCCAGCCTTCCTCAGCATCCGTTTTCTGGCGTTGTCAGCTGCTCGGCGTCTCGCTTTGATGGCGTCAGACACCGGTCGGGAAGCAGTCCCATTTCCTTTTAATCGTTCTCGTATTACTGAGCCTTGACAAAGCATTTGTCCTGTATTACTCGCCGGAACAACAACAGTGGCGTTGTCAAAAGCTCCGTTTGATGGCGTTTCCGACCCGTTCGTGGTAGGAGGTTGCACGTCAGCTGCTGCGCTGAGTGCTTCATCTGGCAACAAACCTTGGTTGACTGTGAAGTCGTCCACGAATTTCAGTACGGCCTCGAACGCGCGCATCGCATCGTCGTCTTCGGCCAGGAACGCCATGGTGCAGAATTTTGGTCAATTTGCTCCTACCAATTTTACGTAATTTTGCTTCGATCAAATATTCCTGAATGTATTTTTTGCTCTGAACGCCCTAAATTTATTAGACACATTATTTTAGTGTACTGATCTCGGACCAAAAAAAAGGCAACGGGGCCCATTCTCACGGACGCAGCATTTGATCCATGAGGACATTTTCGATGAGTTGCTGATCCGCCTTGATATTTCGTGCTGCATCGTTCAGCAAGAAGTCAGTGAGTGCTCGAACGTATTTGGGATCGTAGATGGTACCGGTCTGGGTATCGAGCATTCCGTGCGATACGAGCTGCAGTAACGATAATTCGTGTTGAGGGGTCGAAGCTTTGGCGCGCTTGATGACAGCGTAACTCCGATGGCGGGAAGTAAACCCCCCGAATGGCTTCTGAGTCATGTTAACGGGGGTAATTGATGCCACCCACACCACGATTTCGCGATGAGATTCAACATAACGCCGGACAATCTGCTTGATGCGCACATCCGTGCTCGAATTGCCAGCAACCAGTTCTTTCGAAAAGTGTTCGATGACCGTGTACGGTGTGTCAAGATCCTGCAAAAGATTTGAGTCATCATTAGAAAAAAGATCATCTCGTTAATATATAGACGTGGATGACAACATTGCAGTTTAAGAATGAACGTACCTGGGCTTCTTTCGCATACAGAGTGCCTCGATGCTTCTTCGAGCCCTTGAAGTAGTTCCATGTCGCCTCCGCTGTGGCATGCAGACCAAAGGGCAAAACCTTGTTTGAGAACACTTCAAGATACATTCCATTGACGCCTTCGCGCATCTGTACGTCGTGCAGTGTCATTTCCTTCCATGCAAGGCCATTGGCAGCCAGTACTGTATCGACTTGGCTATACGCGTCGTCAAGGTATTGCAGCAAACCCTGGAAGTCAGCAGCATCAGCTCGGAAGTCCAATGTGTGGCCTGAAGGGCAAGCTATATCAACTCGTCTCTGAATCGATGCGGAGCACTCGGCAATCTGCCGCACCACAATACACATGAGTGATCCATCGTTCAGAATACAATGAGAACACAGTAAACTTTATCTTAGCAAACCTGTTGTCGAGCGCGCTTGAGCAGTATGCTCTCCAAATCTTTGGCCACTTTTATCTGACTTGCAAGAACCACCTTCAGTCGCACATTTTCTCGCTCTGCCTCCTCTCGTTCATTTCGCTGATGAACCGCAATCTCCTCCCACGAACTCGAAGCAGCTGACAACCGGTTTTCGCTTGCAAAAGCAGCGATTTGTTCCTCCAGACCAGGGTCATTTTCGTTTGTTGCGCTCCGTGTTCCCAGCTCTGTCAATGGTCTCGATGGTCGCTCTCGAGCGTTTTGCAGCTCTGTCTCCAGCTGTCCCACTTTCTCGCGCAGGTAGGCTATTTCGAGCATTCGCTCATTGCGAGCACGGTTGGGGTCTGCATACTCCCCAGCTTTGCGCAACACCTTTTTCTTTGTATTGTTGGCCACACGGCGGCTTGAGCGGAGAGAGCCTGACAGAGTAGTATTCGTACTCAAAGTACTGCAGCCACTTGATCGCTGGGATAGTCTTGAAGAACGACGCAGGCTTAAAGTAGCATCGGTTCCTCCGGCGACTTGAAGGTGCATCTCCTCAATCATCGGCATTTCGAGCTCATCGTCGCGAAAAATCTTGTCCGTCTCTAAGCTGTCGGCTATGTCATCACCCATCAAAGGTTCATGTGCAGCAAAATCATCCACGAAGCTCAGCACTGCCTCAAATGCGGCGTCATCGTCGGCGAGGAACGCCATTTTCTGGCGCCACTGCTTTTCACCAACTGCAAGGGACTAAATCTCATAAAAAAAAAAAAAAAAAAGCGACCTGATCTGGTCCGTCCAAATTCCCAATCCATAAATATGTAGCCATCGGTTTTTCGCGACTAATTGCATCAAAAATGCACGAATTAAGCTAAAAAAAAAAAAAATGTAATCAGGCTATTTTGACGACAAGCAATCCAGTGATACCATTTTTTCTCGAGCTCGATTCCTGGTTGTGGAGCAACAGAACTGACCATCATTCTGACGCT